GCGTCGCCCGCTCTACCTCCGATTCTCACCTTACACTTCCCACGTCTTCGCTCAACCACTCCTGCTTTTTTTATCTCCTACTTCCCCCTTCTAGGCTCTCCTTGCCCTACTGGGCTTTCACATTTGTTTCTTATGCGAACAGAAAGAAAGGTGCTTTCAGTATGAGGTTACGATTACATGTGGAAGAAAATTAGAATGAAATTGAAGTATAAATAATGAGTGCAGTAAACATAACTGTGAATTAGGACAATGATAAAATAAATGTATTTACTCTTCTAACACAATATTGGAAATGGGATTCATATTGCTAAGACAATGCTTATGCTCAACGTCAATTACACAGGGTTGAACAACATTATTACTATGCTGCAAGACACCCTGAGTATAGATTCGCTCGAATTTTGAATCATCAAGATCGTTATCAAGCTTATATTTTGATCGTTTCATGGATTATCGTAAAATCTTCTTTGACTATTCCCTTGAGAATCACTACATTCATTTTCTCCCTTTTCTCAACTGTCGTCTCGTATCTTCAAGTTTATCTCCATTGTAGCTTGGCATTGTGTTTAGCTCCATTGTAGCAAAATTAATATTCGCAACACGATATTTGAAAAATCAGACATTAACATTCGATATTTTAAATTTTATACTTGTAAACCCAATTACGAACAATCTTCTGAGAATAAAATGACATTTCCACCTTGAGGGAAATATATAAGGAATTATTGGTTACAAAATCTTGTTCACATAAAAATTATTCAACGAAACAAGATAAACTCCATTGATAAAGATGTGAATTAACATTGGGAGATCTCTCAGACGTACCTAGTATTGAGAAAAATATACGAGAGTCTGTTATGAACTTCTATTCTCTAGAAGAAAAGAGTACACTTGTATACTTCAGCAGAAAGCAAACTTGAATATAATATTTCATATCAAGTAACAATATGATTGAAAGAGAAAGAAATGGATTTCACATAGAAAAAAAGAGAAGAATTAATATTGGGAATGAAATGCCAAAAACAATAAACATGCATTGTGAAATATGGCTTTTAGGTTGCGAGGCAGATAGTGGAAACATAGAAATGGACTCAACAAAATTTCAAATTCTTATTGAAAGAGATGATGTAATTGCTGAATAAATTCGTACGATGATTTTTACTTCGTATGCTGATTCTCAAGCTGACTGTTGGAGGTTCAACAATTTGGCTAGCACAACAATGGAGTATTAAAATTTATGAATGTAAAATTAATTTTTCATTATTTTCGTTTGAAAGAAATTCATGAAACTCCCAATGTTCAGAAAAAAAAGCCTGACCGTATTTGCACATCCCGATGATTGGTTCATCCATTCTACTAAAATCTAACTTTGAGAAATCAAACCTCCCCATATATTTCGAATTTCATCTTAATTTTGCCTGTAGTTTTTTCTTGTTAATTTACCTCAATAAGTGGAATTCTCAATACTTTTTGAGCAGCTGTCCACTTCACAGTAGACTTTGAGAGAAAGCGCAAACTCGCACTCGTGAGACAACAGTCAAATATTTACTTTTATCGTAAACTAATAAGTATTAATACTTGTTAATTGAACGTACACACTCTCCTCAAGTCCAGAGCAGCGAGGACTTTGCAATGGACTTAGAAGTGTACGAATAAAACAATAATTCTAATACAGAAGTGACTTTAAGCATATGAAATGGAAGCCCATGCTTGGACATAGTCCTGCAAGAACTACAAGAACAATGGAAACAAATACAGTAGCAAACGGAAAACGTTCCAAGAACAAGAACAGCTATACTACCATCTTCAAGAACAGTATCTATAACTGTCATATATGTATATATATATATATATATGAGTAGTAATATTAATATATATATATATATATATTGCTAATGTTATTGTAGAACATAATCTTTTTAATTTGCTGAACAAGTGCGACCTTCTTACCTACTGTAATGAGTTTATAGTCATATCAATGTCTTCAATTAAACCAAGTATAATACCATTCAATTTCCAAAACTACTACTACTCTAAAAGAATGGAGTTTGTGATTCTACAAATCCCAAATATGTATGTATAGCTCAATCAGATAATGACCCCGAAATTTAAAATAAAAACCACACACCATAGATGAAAACTATTTAACAATAGTTGCTGGCATCAGGTAAATTCTCACAAATAATTTTACTATCAAATGGAACAAAATAAAATTAAAATATCTCAATAATTCAGAAGGAAATAATAGTTTTAATAAATTCTGAAAAAATAAAAGAAGCAAAAAATGACTCATAGAGAGAACTAACAATTAAAATATATAATAATGCTTAAGGGAATTTAACAATATCTTAAAGTAAAATATATAAAGATTTTCAAAGTATAAATTGTCCAGTTGTGAAAGTGTTCATGTTTTGTAAAAGCAATGACAACCACTATAAACATCGAATTTTATGAATGTATGTACTGTGCTATCGATGTATGAAAAGCCAACTAAATAAGTAACTTAAAGTAAATTTTGAATTTCCTCATTCAACAGCGCCACAAGTCTACCAGCATAAATAAATATATCTTACCTGGTAATTACAATACTAATTCAATTTATCACAGAAATTGCTTCCAAATACAACATTCAACAAAGTCGTTAAGCCCGGCCATTACAAAGACTATTTGTTCAGGAACTTAGATTTTTGAACTGAAACATTTAAAACCAGTCATTGATTGTTGATTTAAAAAACAGAATTATTATTTTTTGAACTGAGTTTACTAAAAACGACAAAACGTGGCCGCATCATTAGGTAGTCTGAAATCAACCATTTTAACAGTTAAAAATGGTTCTTTCCTCTATTTAAAAAAATTGAAATAGGAAATAATGCAAAATAAAATATAATATTTAAAATTATAATAAAAAATGAAATTTAAATTAATATAAAAATGTATTAATTCATAAAGTAAAAAAATAAACGGTGTATAAACATATAAGTACAAAGAACAAGTCTTACCCGTGATAAAGAAAGGAAAAACATACACAGTTGAAAGATACTTTTTAATGTGTGTTTTTCCTTTCTTTGTAGCGAATCGTCACGAGTAAAAAGTTATTTAATCATTTGTTTTTTATGTTGACAAAAACACCAGCAAATACGACGGAAAGACGTACTCAAATGTTTACTGTGGAAGAATTGTCATAATGAAGGAAAGTAGACCAAGGAATCGAAATCTAACCCAAGTCATCCCCTGAACTTTCCCCTGTAACCCGTAATACACTCCCGAAATGCGGTTTGCATACACGACTCACTAACGGGCGCGGCTTGGCACTATGGCTTTCTCTCCATTCCTTTCTCGATTTCTGCCACCTTCGAACCGACGGAAAATTACTCTATTGGCGTAGAGACCCAAAGTGATTTTCTCCCAATCATACATGGCAGGTACATGTGTCAATAAAGACAAAAGGCGTTTTAGAGAACCGTTTGCATCATTACAACTACGCCGATTATGCGTAGAGATGTTCTCTGGAAGATGAAAGATGACTGTGAAAGGTGAATGAATAAGAACAAATATGATCTAAACTTACAATTATTCTTATCCCAGCAATTATTGCACTTCTAAGTGACCTCCGCTCCAGGGTATATCTTTCCATTATTAAAAGTCTCCAAGATCTAGAGGTGTTTCTCCGTGTGAAGTAATATGCCGCTCATAATAAAAGTGATTTATTTTCATATTTAATTTATTCGGTTTAATTTCATGAGAATACTTCATTTGAACCTATTTAAGGTCCATAAAAGCCTGGAATGATAATACACACAGATTCCACAAAATGAGGACTATTAATTTTGTTTGCGTTCATACAATTGTTTTTAGTGAAATAATTATTAAATAAGAAGGAAATGATATTAGTAAACAGTTAAGAGATTTAAATATTCAAGAAGTATCAAGAACTTAAAATCAGATTTCGTTTTCCTCCAAAATCCTCCAGTAGTAACTTTAAAGGGTGGGTTCTGTCTGAACGGAAAGACTTGACGTATGCCTCTAGCATCCCCCGTGATATCCTTCCCCGGATCTATCACGAGCCCTGATCTGAATTTTCTACTCTCGAGAGAGGACAGCGGCGATCGCCATGGAGTCGTGACCCCCCCCTCCTCTCCAGCCGGGCGTTTTCTCCCGCGACGTCTTCCATCGTCGCCTCTGTCCCCGCCCCGCCCCGCCGCCCGCGTCGCCCCGCGTCGGCCGCGCCGCCGGTCAGCAGCGCTCTTCATAACCTTATTATTTTCGCCTCTCTTCCTCTCGTCCTCACGCCCCTCGACGGGCGTGTATAGAGGAATCCTATAATAAGGGGACGGGACGGCGCGGACACGGGGAAAAGACACTCGAAATCTCATCTCTGGCGGCGGGCCCGCGTCTCTCCGGGCGATATTTTACCCCTATTTTCTTCTTTATATCGGGTCCCGGGGGCGCCACCTCGGATCGGATGTCTGCTCCTCCGCTCCGCCACCCCCACTCCCCCGCCGCTCCGCTACCTCCCGCCCCGCCCCGCCGCCCGCCCGCCCGGCCCGAACGTACACAAAGGAAACCAATACACGCGCTGAGAGATGGTCCCTTCGCCGCTCGGCCGCCTCCCAATATATTCCCCCCCCAGTTCGCCCCGTCGCCGCTGGGAAACGTCGAGGGTGGAGCTGGGCGGTGGGAAGGAGAGAGAGTGAGCGCGAGAATTCGAGGAAGTGAGCCTGCTGTGTCCTCGACCCGCGCCGCGGACGACTGGCGCAGGCGAGGAGCTCGAAGGAAGTGCAGAGAGCAGCGTGGAGAGAGTGAGGCGCAGGCAGCGGCGTCGCGCCGGCGACCTCGCAAAATGCGATGCGCCCTGAATGGCCGACGGAGCGCCCTAGATTGCACCCTTCGGACCGCCCCCCCTTCCCCTTCCCCTCCTCCGCCCTGCTCCTCCGCCTCCTGCGCCGGCGCGCGCCCCTACACTGGCATGCGGATTAAGCCCGAAATCTGACCCAAATAGAATGGGAGATCTGCTGCTTTCTCCGCCGCGCCTCCTCGCTTCTGCTCCTCGCCGCTTCTCCGCCTCCCAGCAGCCGCCGCCCCATTCCTTTCCACTCTTCTTCGAGCCCTCTTCTGTCGTCCCTCGTCCTCGCCCCGCCCCGCCCCGCCCGCTCTTGCCTGCGCCGCCGCCGCGGCCTGCCCGGCCCGCCTTCACAAGCCGATGGACATCAAATTGTCGGGGCGAGGTGGACGCGCCGGCGTCCGTCCCCGCCCCCTCGCTCTCTCGTCCTCCCCCGTGGACGGCGTCCTTCCCTGTGACGGATGGACGGTGCAAGAGGCCGCTCGCTGCCCGCTAACGGGCGACGCGTGGAAAAATGATGGAAAAATCGCGCGGGCGTCCGGAGGCCGTCTAACGACGCTGCTGATAGGCCGAGGGGACCGCCAAGGAGCCTTCTCATGGGCTAGAAGGCGCTTCTCCGCGCGTCTATGCGTCGCTTTGCTTCGTTCTCCTTGCAGAGAGTATACTTGACGATTTTATTTTTTCCCTTTCAGAAATTAAATAAACTACCAAAATAACCTACCGCAAACTACAACAACGCACATTCTTATTCATCTGTTGTGTTTTCATTTTTATTAAAAAATTGTTTTTTACCATATTTTATTTCATTTAGTTAAAACAATTAACGCCACTATATTTTGCACGAGATATGCAATGTTTAAACACTAAGAGTATCAATTCTAACATATGGGTGACGCTAAAAAAAATGAAATTTTAAACTTGAAAATAAGCACATGTTTTACAAACTATCACGAAAGATATATTTACTATACGACGGAGAAGTATAAATCTGTTTGCCAAACATACCGCGGTACTCTTTTATATGGAATATCTTAAAACTAGACGTTCTCCTTCACGGGTACTGTCGCATTGTTGGAAAGGTAGTAGAACCCCTCTAATACCTAACCTAAAATCCGAACCCCGCAGATCTGAAATTTCGGATTATCCGTACAAAATTAGGGATGAAGAAAAAATAAACAAAAGGCACCTGATTTGTATTTATTTAGTTTATTAACGAAAAAGAATGGACACAGTGTGCTTCAACTCTTGTAATCATTGTAGCAACGACTACCGCATGCGATGGTCTATGTATGTACTGTAATCCGTTGTTCGCAACATTGTCACTTCCTATTGTCACTACGATACGTTGCCAATTTCTCACATCGGATTCTGCGATATATTGTAACTGTAAACCTACAGATGTATTTATATATGTGAGGTAAATTTCTTTTGAATAATCCGAACATTTCCGAATCCGAACAGAACACGCCCCCAATTAGTTCGGAATAACGGGGTTCTACTGTAGTCACAAAATACTGGAATATATAATTGTTATTAGTGTGGCAGAAATTACAATTTTGACATACTAAAATATCAGTTATAACTTGAAAATATCCGAACTTGAGGAATACTGTTATATAAGGAAACAAGATCTAGAGAAACCATGCTATAAGTATCCGGAATCTATATGTCTGAAGAACTCTTTGCAGTTCGTCACAGAGTAATTATTTTCAGGAAACCCATATTTAAGTACTGAGAACAAGAATTAAGAGATTTTACCCAATGGTGTATCAAGAGAAGATATAAGTCTATATGGGATCCCGTATTTATGTATTTTAGGTAAAGCGTAAGCTCTGGATATACATATATACGTGCCTATATACTTGTTGCATTAAATATGTACTATACATATAACCTCTGTCTCTCCGTATGATTGGGATTTCTTTTAGATCATTGATTAATTTGTTAACAGGATTGGCCCCTACTTTGATAAAAGTATTTTCATCATTCAACATACGTTCAACTGTTTGAATGTAATTTGAATTGTTAATAGCCACTGATGCTGCTCCCTTATCAGCTCCAGTTATCACATGTCATTAAGCTCCTTGATAAATTCATTAATAGTGATCAATCACAAGTTATTTACATGAGTTTTCCTTACTTCTTTGGTATTTGTAATAAATTACAGAAAACGTTTAAAGATAATCACACTAGATTTTTGTTCAGGCTGAACCATCATCTTTCTAACATCATTAAAACATTATATATTCCATTCCTCTCAAGATATTTATTTTATTCCTCTCAAGATATATATTTAGTTCCTCTCAAAATATCGTGATAAAATCAAATAGAAAACTAACAATTGTGACTGTTGCTATGTTGCTACTACAAAAAGAAGTCTTGAACATTTGATAAATACACTCTCATCACCAATCCTATGATTAATGACAAACATATCTTTGACTGGATTGTCAAAGTTTAAAATAAAGAAAAAAATGCTTATAAAAGATATATCTCAGAAATATTCCATGTTCATTATAACTCAAATACTAGTAATTTACAATCCGATACCGAGAAACTCAGCAATATTTACAACCCACGTATCTAATCTCTTTACGCATTTTAATTCTAAACTTGATTTATTTATTCCATAATTCCTGACGCAGTGTGTGTTCCCAACTTACTCTTTGCTTCCTCCACAATTATTTTTTTGGTTTGGTATGTTGGTAAAGGTCTATATTGAAGATCACTGACAACTCTCATGTTTCTTTAGTCAATATTGGTCAACATGCCTTCCTAAAGAATTTATCCCGATGTGACATTTATTACTATATTTTGGATTGTGTGAATAATAAGGTATGTAATAAATAATTGTTATTTTTACTATCATGTTTTACATACATGACAAGAGCTTTATAGTAATAAATTCCCTAGTAGGTTCTTTCACTTACCCTAATGAGGGCCACAACATAACCTAGGCAGAAACGTCGTTAACATTATTATACAATAATTCATTTCATTTGTTGTGTTTGGATGATGGTCGTGATTTATTATTCAATATATGAATCAGCAGATGTTAACATTACATTGTAGTTAGAGTTAAGAAGTGATAGCCTATGCTGTTTCAGAAACTAGCCAAAGTTAGAAACAGCTCTCCTGTAAAGTTACCATTTTGTCACTTCTGGCTGTAACGCAACGCACGATCTTTGAATTTATTCCAGTTTACTTCCGGACATAATTTCTGATGTAGTGTTGATCATTTGTGCGTTTGATGACTAAAGTAATAAGATAACAGAATTATGATCAGAGTAGAACTCTGGAAATACTAATTGTTTGGTTATGTGGCTGGCCTCTTTTGTTAGTGTACTAAGAAGTATGTAAGATTTTGTGTTGCTGTTATAGGTGTAAAATTAGTTCTCGAGGTGCGATAACTTGAAGGTTATTTTCGTGGCATATTGAAGAAAAGTTTCCTTGTAGGTCGATAGTCCCAAGTAGTATGTTTACTGTTTAGATCTCCTATTAGTTGAACTGGATTGTTAGTTGTATAATTAACTATTTCTTGATGAGATTTATATGGGAAATATTTGCTTGAACGTTTGTTTGCTCTGATAATACGCGAGTCTTGTGAAACTTATATTTTTTATGGAAACTGTTTCAAGATCCTGCGAGTTCGGGCTATCAGTAAGGTCGTGATTGATTGTATGAATTATTATTGGAGTGCCGCCGTCTGCTGCCGTTTCAGAAAGCCTATCGTTGCGGTATATTTGATATCCTGGTATTTGAAAATGTTTCATTTAATAGTATGTTACGGTTCCCGTTACGTATGCTATGTCAATTTCATATTGTTGAAAGTCTCGAAAGAATATTTCGAAGGTTAATTTTTGCCTTTTAATGGAGCTAGCACTCCAGTTACGGATTTTAACATTTTACATTTGTTTTATTTGCCCCTTTTTAGTGGTGATAGAGTTTTCAAACATTTATTGTAATTGTTTTTGTATTTCTGGCATGACGATTGTGATTATTTGTGTGATAATAGTCTTTGTTATCTCGGAGAGGTAAGAAAGAGAGTGTGATTGTTGAGAAAATTGTAAGTTCGATTGTTGTTTATATGATTGATTAGTGATTCCGGGCGCGTCAACTACTATGGTCATTAGTCTCGTAAGTGTAGTACATGTTTTTATCGCAGGAGGGGGCGGTGATCTTCCCCCACTGGATGGCGAGATTCGGCGCCGACCTACCTGTTGGCTTGTGGGGATTTTCCCCAGCCAGGAATCTCCCACCCTCCCTCCCGCAGCACCGCTAAGTGTCGAAAGTAAAGGTTTTAGGATAGGACAAGGAAGAGAAGAAAAACTTCCGCGCGCGTCGTTGCCCGTTTGTTAGGTACTGCACGACATTTGTTGTTTTTTTCAGCGCGGGAAACTACCGATCAGAGCAGCTGCACACTAGCCCTCCAGCCGGCTGAATTGGAACTAGCTATTTACCTTCCGTCGAAAATGTAGCCACCGATGGAACTCGAACCCTAGGGCCTTTCGCTCAGAGGCAGTGTAAGAGTTTTTCTACACCATTGTTATTTGAGGTAAAGGGGAACGTTTTTGTTGCCGTAGTTCAAAATATTTGCTGTGTTTAATGTGTTGGTTATTTACTTGTTCTTGATAGTTATTATTTAAGCGTTTTTTAAATTTTAGGCAACATTGCTTTGGCAATGCTTTGTCTTTAACACTTTGTAGCAAATGTTATTGAAGATTTGACATCCTTGATGGTTTGCTGTTGTTTTGCTCCAAAGTTACCACATGATGGTGGAAGGATGTTTCTTTTGGATTGGTACATTTGGGGCGTCTTGTTTGCATTTTACAGATAGCCTTCGAGTGATTATACCTTTGACAATTTTTACATTGTATTGGATTTTTTTTGTTTGAATCCGGTTGGATTTAGGGAACGCAATGCATCAATTTTATTTATTGTTTGGGCTCATTTAAATTTTCATAATTAATGTCATTCAAATTTAGTACGCAGATTTGGAGGTGGTTTCTAGATTTGTTGTAAAGAGTAGAAACTTTGATTACTGTAGACTGAGGTGAAAGAGTCAAGGGGCACCTGTCGGACCTCTTTTTCCCGATAGAAGTGCACCAACTCGTCGTGGCATAGACTCTATAAATCGTGGAAGTCTCCTGCAGAAATATTGATCCGTACTGCCTCCATAGCCGTCCAAAATTGTAAAAATGTTGTCTACAGTGCCATCAAAATTATATCCCATAAATTTTCGATGGGATTCATGTCGGGTAATATGGGTGCCCAAATCGTTCGCTAAAATTATCCAGTATGTTCTTCTAACTAATTGTGAACAATTGTGGCTCGGAGACATCGCCCATTATCTTTAGTGCGATACTACTGCCAACTGTACATTTACCTGTTGCTACTCCATTACTTTTATAACCTCAGTGTTTATTGTAGCGACACAATTATTCTAGTATTTCACTTTCACTTGAAGTTTCAGGGCTTCCTTTGCATACAACTGAAGAGGTTTTAAATGATGGGTCTCTGTGCGTATAGTATTGTATTTTTTCATTCTCACTTAGTTTTTACTTTCTCGCTACGAAGTAGAGAGAAAGTTATGTATTGCTGTGCGAAAAAACGGCGAATGTTTGTCAGAAAAATTGTTATTACAGGACTCTGATAACGAAAAAGTGGATAAATACAGCTGCTAAATTTAGAAAAAAACTAACACGTGGTGTAGTCAGAATTGATGTTTTGTCGGTCCTTGATAGCGAAAAATAGTCTAACGGCAAAACGTCTGTCCGTCCGTGTGTGAACACCGTGTGCTAGCGGCTAAACCGTTTAACCGCTTTTCTCCAAAACTGATATTCCCCCAATTTATGTGGATGATTTCGCGGCACCTTAAATTTGAAAACAAAATTTCAATTTGGGGAGGGGTATTTGCTTGAAGTCCCTGGAACATTTTCCAAATTTAAAAAATGGCTTCATCGTATTTATTATTATTATTATTATTATTATTATTATTATTATTATTATTATTATTATTATTATTGATTTATAATGTGAAGGATGTTTAAAAGAATAGTACAGTCTCACGTTCATTAAAAACCTTAAATTGTGGAAAATTGCACACGTTCAAATTTTTTTCAGCGTCTTCCTTCAACGAAAATATTAAAGATAGAGATTTTCCCCTTAATTAAATCTATTCCTTAAAGATATATTTTGTACTAAGGTCATGATCAAGTTTTCGAAAATTTGAATACTTTTCTCGACATGTTGCGTGAAAAATAAGGCAAGAAAGTACGTACTATTTTATCACCACTAGTTTATAATTTCTGAAGTTATCTTTGTTAATGAATTAATTTTGAACACTTTCGTTAAAAATTATTAGGTACCTCTTCAATATTTTGAAGTATTTGAGGAGATTATTTACGGGTTACACGTATTAGGGGGATTTTAATATTTGAAGTTAATGGTGTAATTTATTCACCTGTACTTTTGACTGCGTAAAAAGCAGTAAGATACTACTGCATTAAACGCTAAGTGTAAGTCTGTTGATTAACGTTCTTACTTGGTTCCACTCATTTTAGGTTGGTTTGGGTTCGTACTGTTTGATGAGTTAGGGTTGGTTGCCAAGTGAATACAGACTCCGGCCGCGGAAGCGTACTCTCTCATATTTAATGCTGTTGAAGTATTGTAGTGTTGCGCGGTTGGGGTTTGTGGTGCATTGACTGCTGGGGGTTGACCTCCTGTTTTGCCGTTCGGGAGATGTGTGGAATTGGGTTGACGATGAGCGGCCCCGCGATCGGCGTTAGGAGGTTGTAGCGGTGCAGACTGCAAATGCTGGTGTTGACGAAGTTGTAGCTGCTGCAGTTGGTATGCTGCTTTTGCGATGTTGCTGCGGTTGGTGGCTTTGATGAAGATACACTTGTTGTTGTTGGATTTGATAAGGCTGTATGAAATCTGTTGATGATTGTTTAATTTTTTTGACTCGTATATCTAATTCAACTTTCTGTTGTTTGTGGAATTTTATTAGCTATTAAAGTAAGTAAAATAATTAATACGCTGACCTAAGTCACAGAAAGAATTGTATAAACTATTAATACTGATTCTGGACAGTACACGGGGATACAAGATTCATTATCATTTAAACTTTGATAGCGACTGCAGCTTAAATCAGAAAGAGCTGCCTCACGAGGGACTCTTTCCCCATGGAGGTTCGTGCCGGACTAAAAGGAAGATTACTGATACCGAGAATGTGAATAATTTTGTTTCTGTATGTAGAAAATAGCATTATCTAACACTTGTGTTGTCACAATTATTTTTTTGTGGGACCGTGATAATGGAAATTGGTGTACGGCCAAAAGTCTGCCAGTCTGTGAACAAATATAGCGGCTTCACCGTTTGACCAGGATTTTACAAAAATTAATATTTTTTGATCAATACAAGCGATGTTGCGGCGCCTTGTATTTGAAAGGGATGTTTTGAGTTTTGGGGGTACTATACTTAATCAACGACATATTCAAAACGTGCTCAAGCATGGTTCCACATTTTTCTTTTAAATTATTTCTCATAATTTCTTTTCTTTCTTAGAAAAACCTAGATAGAGCAAAGTACACTGAGAAAGATGGTGCTGGTTCAATTTTCGTTGATTTCTTCTGAATGTTCACAAATTGCAAACATTTAATTTTTTTGGCAGTCTCATTAATTTACAATTTTTACCCAAAACTCATTTGCTGAAGTGTTAGTATGAAATATGAAACACTGTTCTCTAAAACAATTCCTAGTTCCAAGATATTTATTAATCCAAGCAAAAATTAAATTTATCTTAGTGAAAATGTAGGAGAACATAAATATCACTT